AACAAGGACTAAACCAGGACTAAAGCAGAACTCAGCAAGGACTAAACCAGGACTAAACCAGGACTAAAGCAGGACTGAACCAGGACTAAACCACGACTCAGCAAGGACTAAACCAGGACTAAAGCAGGACTAAACCAGGACTAAACCAGTACTAAACCAGGACTGAACCGGGTCTGAACAGGGATTAAACCAGGACTGAACCGAGTCTGCACCAGGACTAAACCAGGACTGAACCAGGTCTGAACAGGGACTAAACCAGGACTGAACCAAGTTGAACCCAGGTCTGAACCAGGTGTGAAACCAGGACTGAACCAGGACTAAACCAGGACTGAACCAGGACTAAAACAGGACTAAACCAGGTCTAACCTACTGGTCTAACCCAGGACTGAACCAGGACTGAACAGGACTAAGCCAGGTCAGAACCAGGTCTAACCCAGGTCTAATCAAGGTCTAAACCCAGATCCAAGCCACAGACCACACAAACGGGGGGGAGGAGGAAACTGTGTGTGCATTTTTTCTGTTTATTTTTAATCGCAGGAAGTTGACTCAAACTCTGTCACCACAACCTGACCTGAAACACACAAACTCCACAAGATCCACACGCACAAGACGCACAACTGCCCAGTCCTCGGTCCTGTCCTCGGTCCTGTCCTCGGTCCTGTCCTCGGTCCTGTCCTCTTTCCGCTGCCCTCTGCATTTTACAAGTTCTTAAAAGTTCTGAAGAAAACCACAAAAACACAGAAAGTCGAGCCGATTTCTAAAACAGAACCAATTATTTCATCATCACGAGTGAATTTCCTCGTAGGTTAAACAGTTTCTCCGCTCATTGCTGAAAAAAAATGAGCTCACGGAGATGCCCACTCGGTTTTTTCCACTCGTATTTATTCCATTTTAAAAGCTCAGAGATGTCACGAAGGCAAAACGGCGACATCCTGACGACTATATTGTGACCAGATGTCCCTGTTTGACCGGGACAGTCCCAGTTTTGACCCAGCAGATTTATACAAAACAACTGATTTGTCCCAGTTTTATACAAGAAATGTCCCAGGTGTCACTTTTTTTTTTGGCCAATAGTAAAAAAAAGATGCATAAATTGTCAATTGTTTAAGTAAAATACAGAAAAGCTGCTTTAAAATACAAAGAAAATGTGACTATACTGACTCACGATTGCAGAACAGTTTTCCTTACTTACGCACTCGTTTCACAATTTTATTATTACCAACCACCACAAACCAGAAATGTTGCTGGTTTTTATTTTGAAAATCAGGTCACCCTAAACTACTATCCATAACGCAGCTGTCCAAAAGTTCCAAAAAGCACATTTAAAACACAAGATCCGGAGCAATGCTTTAATAACTTAGTGCTTTATAAAGTTTCAGAGACAGATTTGAGATAAAAGTGTGCGTCTTGTTGTCATTAGGTCCACAAAGCTGATCCGCTGTGTCTTGTCTCGGTCTTCAAGGCGTTTGGACTCGGTCTTGTCTTGGTCTTGAAGGCGCCTGGACTTGGTCTTGTCTCGGTCTCGAGGTCTGACACTCAACAAGGGATAAACTGGAGATAGATTTATAAAAACATTGATAGACTGTAAAATACAAATAAATGTCAAAAATGAGAAAGATATTCTTGATTTGGTCTCGATGGGTCGTGGTCTCGGTCTTATCTCTGTCTCAACCTTTAAGAGTCTCGATCTTGTCTCGGTCTCTGCCTTTAAAAGTCTTGGTCTTGTCTCGGTCTCAACTTTTAAAAGTCTTGGTCTTGTCTCGGTCTCAACCTTTAAAAGTCTTGGTCTTGTCTCGGTCTCGACCTTTAAAAGTCTTGGTCTTGTCTCGACCTTTAAAAGTCTTGGTCTTGTCTCGGTCTCAACTTTTAAAAGTCTTGGTCTTGTCTCGGTCTCGACCTTTAAAAGTCTTGATCTTGTCTCGGTCTCGACCTTTAAAAGTCTTGGTCTTGTCTTGTCTCGGTCTTGGTCTTGTCTCTCGGTCTCAACTCTTTAAGGTCTCTCGTCTCGGTCTTTCTCTGTCTCAACCTTTAAAGTCTTCGTCTTGTCTCGGTCTCTGCCTTTAAAAGTCTTGGTCTTGTCTCGGTCTCTGCCTTTAAAAGTCTTGGTCTTGTCTCGGTCTCGACCTTTCAAAGTCTCTTGTTCTCTGTCTCGACCTTAAAAGTCTTGGTCTTGTCTTGTCTCAACCTTTAAAGTCTCTGGTCTTGTCTCGGTCTCAGCCTTTAAAAGTCTTGGTCTTGTCTCGGTCTCGACCTTTAAAAGTCTTGGTCTTGTCTTGGTCTCGACTCTCAGAGGTCTCGGTCTTGTCTCATTCTCGTCCCTCAGAGGTCTTGGTCTTTTCTCTGTCTCGACCTTTAAATGTCTTGGTCTTGTCTCGGTCTCGACCTTTAAAAGTCTTGGTCTTGTTCGGTCTCGCCTTTAAAAGTCTCTCTGGTCTCGACCCTCAGAGGTCTCGGTCTTGTCTCTGTCTTGACCTTAAAAGTCTTGGTCTTGTCTCGGTCTCGACCTTTAAAAGTCTTGGTCTGTCTTGGTCTTGTCTCTGTCTCTCTGACTTTTAAAAGTCTTGGTCTTGTCTCTGTCTCTTGCCTTTAAAATGTCTTGGTCTTGTCTCGGTCTCGACCTTTAAAAGTCTTGGTCTTGTCTGTGTCTCGACCTTTAAAAGTCTTGGTCTTGTCTCGGTCCTTTCTTGGTCTTTGTCTCGGTCTCAATCCTCAGAGGGCTCGGTCTTGTCCATCCAGACCAACATAAACCTGGTTCTTCCTCCACTTCCTGCCTCTTTGTCAGTTTTCCAAATTGATAACAAGCTCTTGGCTCAAATTCTGAAGATTTTGTTTTGGTTTTTTTTAACATTTACATGCTTTTTTCCATGACGTTTTGTAATTTTTTTCTTCTCTCAGTCTCAACTCACCTGGTCGTCTTGTGGCTCGTGCTCCTCCAGACCCCAAAGCTCCAAACCCACCTGTAAAATAAAACCTCTTAACGTCACCTGAGTCCGTGCAAAGTTGTGGTCGTCATCAACACGGAAAACTCCAAACCGCCGAGACTATTTCTTTATTATTCATTTCTTCTGAAAGTTTAAACTTTAAGGTGTATTTTTATCAGTCTATTCATAACTATTGTGTAATTTAGTCACATTTTGGGCCTTGTTTACATCACGGTTGCTAGGTCTAACCTAACCTGTCATATGTGTATTAAAGGTGCATTGCGTAACCTCTTGTAACCCTCACCTTGAAGATTTTATTAGTCTCCTGGCATGTTCTAACACGGCTTTAAAATCTTACATTTCTTTCAGTGAGAGTGTTTTTATTGCTCAAAATTACACTGAAAAACCAAATCTGCATTCCGACTGTGAACGGGCCGGGCCTGCTTGTTGCCATGGAGATAGAAGGTTTTAATGCCATAGTGTGGAGCTTTTTAGGTCCTGACCCAAATCCTGGTTCAGATCTGGTCCACAACATTTTTGACCCAGAGATAAATACAGAGGACACAGAGGCGCTAAGGATGGGTCAAATGCAGAGGACACATAGAGACACTGAGGATGGGTCAAATACAGAGGACATAGAGACACTGAGGATGGGTCAAATACAGAGGACATAGAGACACTGAGGATGGGTCAAATACAGAGGACATAGAGACACTGAGGATGGGTCAAATACAGAGGACACATAAAGACACTGAGGATGGGTCAAATGCAGAGGACATAAAGACACTGAGGATGGGTCAAATACAGAGGACATAGAGACACTGAGGATGGGTCAAATGCAGAGGACAGAGACACTGAGGATGGGTCAAATGCAGAGGACACAAAGACACTGAGGATGGGTCAAATGCAGAGGACACATAAAGACACTGAGGATGGGTCAAATGCAGAGGACACATAAAGACACTGAGGATGGGTCAAATGCAGAGGAGACATAAGAGACACTGAGGATGGGTCAAATGCAGAGGACACATAAAGACACTGAGGATGGGTCAAATACAGAGGACATAGAGACACTGAGGATGGGTCAAATGCAGAGGACATAGAGACACTGAGGATGGGTCAAATGCAGAGGACACATAAAGACACTGAGGATGGGTCAAAAACAGAGGACACAGAGACACTGAGGATGGGTCAAATGCAGAGGACACATAAAGACACTGAGGATGGGTCAAATGCAGAGGACACAGAGACACTGAGGATGGGTCAAATGCAGAGGACACATAAAGACACTGAGGATGGGTCAAATGCAGAGGACACATAAAGACACTGAGGATGGGTCAAATGCAGAGGACACATTTCCGTGCCGTGAGTTTACAGTAAGTTTCCGCTGCTGCAGGTTCTGTTTACAGTTAACATGTGTGCCCCTGCTGCGGCATCATGGGAGCACGGGTCATGACACAAACAGGACCCGGGTTCTGTCTCTGGTCTTTTCCAGTCTCTGGTCTTGGTCTGGACTCATGGGTCACATGACGAGAGTCACGTGGTGTTGGTACTTTCAGTTATTATCTCTTCATATTGAGCCTTGTTTCTAAATTAAATCCACACATTTAAACATAATATTATATTATTTTATTATTTTATATTTTATTGTATAAATATTGTGAGCTCAGAGCAGGAGCCTTGGTCACACTCCTCGAGGTGAATCTGTTTGAAAGTGCATTCCTGGATTTTTCTCGGTGATGAAACAGTGACAGGACATTTGTCATGTTATAATGTCGTAATAAAGATGAGTTTAATGCATGACGTCACCACGCAGCGCTCTATATGAGTTATAATAATAATAATACACGTGCTCGTCGTGTTTATCCCCAAGTGGACCACTCACTGACCACACGCTGACCCGTGAGTCAGGCTCCGGGAGCAGCGGCTCTGGGCCCCGGGACCCGGGGAAAAGCGCAGTTTCTGGGATTTTTGGGTTTGTGCAATAGCGCAGGGAGTGGCCTCGAGTCACGGGGCGTTTCTAAAAACACAACCTGAACTCCCCCTAAGAGCTGCGCTTTAAAAACCTGCGGAGCCCGATACAGTTCCAGAACTGTCGAGATCGCACCGAGCGAACGAGTCAGACACAAGCGAGACTAGAGCCTAAAGCAGGTCACAGACACTCACAGCCTTAAAGAGTTTATCTCAGAGTTTTTCTCAGAGTTTATCTCAGAGTTTATCGCAGATCTTCAGCCTTCCTCACAGACGCATGGCCACCCTGACGCTGACGCAGAGGCGGGAGCGGTACGCGGAGTGCCGCTGGTCCGCACGGAGCACAGAACCAGAGGTTTTCACGTTCGAGAGGATTCCTCCACAGACCGCGGCGCTCAGCTGCTACGCGCCCATCCGACCCAAGAAGCGGTGCACGCGGGTCATGTACCCGGCCAAAGTGCGCATGCACCTTCCGCCGCCGGAGCGCAGCTCCGCCAAGCGCGCGCTGCTGCTGCTGCTGCTCGTGCTGCTGTGGCAGATCTGGACCGAGGAGCCGGAGCTCAAGATCCGTCCACGCGCACCACAGCCCACGTGCCCATCCTACGTTCCAACGTACTTCACCTCCAGGCGCGAGAGCCCCGTGTGCCCCGCGAGCCAAGCCAGCCCCGCACGAGAGCCCGGCCACGGTTTTGAGGGCGCGCGCAACAGCTACGTGGTGGCGCTGCTCGTGGCTCACCGTCTCGGGTCCGACTGAGCCCCGCGAGACACTACACCTGAGTACGAGACCAGAGTCCGGACCAGAGAGCCGAATCTGAACCAGGACTAGATCAGGAGAGTCCCAGAGGAGCCGCGGGACAAACCTCACACTAAGGCCGGGGACAGCGCACCCAGAGGCGGCCACAGTCCGCACAGAGCCCCGCTGAGCCCCGGGCCGGACAGAACTGAAGCTGAAACTGGACTGAACCAGGATCAAACCAAGACTTGAAAATATGGAACTTTTCAAACTTAGAAAAACTGAGTTTCAGAGACTTGAATCAAACTGAAAAGACTTGAAGTGAGCTCACGCGCACGTGCACGCGCACCAACACTGTCGTTACTGTAACGCTATAAATGTTATTTAGTATTTATTGAACTATTTGCTATTTATTATTTTGTAATAAAACGTATTGAAATGAACCTTTTTCTCCTGTGTTTTCTCATGGTGTTATGTAATACAACAGTAACTGTGTCAGATTATGATCAGACCAAACCACTTTGTGAAAAGACCAGATTCTTTCCGTGACGTCACTCAGAGACAGTGTCCCTAAGACAAAGGGACTTAATAGATCAGGCTCTGTGTGTGTACACGAGCACACATGAGCACATAGGAGCACACACGAGCACACACGACATGAGCACACACGACATGAGCACACACAAGCACACAGGAACATTTGAATAAATTAAGGATATTTTTTTGTGCCAAGTCACTGATAAAGTTATTTCACATTACATCAGAGCAAAACAATAAGAGCAGTGTTTACAGGGGAGTGACAGGTGAGTGACAGGTGAGCGACAGGTCCAGGCCCGTTCAGGAGGGCATTTAGAATTAGCTTAAAAATATACTTTACATTTATTATCAGTGTGCACAGCCCAAAGCAGAACTAAACCAGGACTAAACTAGAATTCTAGTGGTAAACCCACCTCCTGTATATTGCTGAAATATTTTTATGACTTATTTCTATTTTATTTTATTTTGACTTGCACATACACACTTATATAATTATGTCTTATTTGACACCAGCTTCTTGCTATATTTGTTAGTTACTGAGAATTTATTATTACATTTATATTTTTACTCTTTGTTATTATAATATTTTGTGATGTGTCCACGTAATTTCCTTGTGGATTAATACAGTTTATCTAAGTCTAAATATAAGTCTAAAACCACTAACTAATTCAGAACCAAACCAGGTCTAAACCGCTAATAGACTTGAAAAAAACAAAAAACAGGACAGAACCAGGTCTAAACCAAGATTAATCCAGGGGTCTAAACCAGGTCTAAACTAGGACTACACCAGGTCTAAACCAGGTCTACATCAGGTCTACAGCAGGTCTAAATCAGATCTAAACCAGGCCCAGGTCTTGAGTTTACTGTAGATGTCAGACGTGACTCTTGTTTACATAATCCGTCAGAGTCTGTGATGTGGTTGTTTGGGCATCACCACGGCAACAGTGCTATCCCATAATTCCTCAGGTATGTGTCGTGGCGGTGACAGGGCTATCCCATAATGCCGAGGGGCGCGGGTGTACCCATAATGCTGTGGGTGTGAGTATGACATCACGCCCAGCTCTCAACCAATCAGAATGCAGATCTGAAACACGAGAGAAAATAATGAGGTCTGAGATAGAACTGGTTTAGTCCTGGTTTAGTTCTGGTTTAGATCTGGTTTAGACCTGATTTAGACCTGGTTTAGTCCTGGTTTAGTTCTGGTTTAGTAATGGTTTAGTTCTGGTTTCATCGTGGTTTAGATTTGGTTTTGTTCTGGTGTAGACTTGGTTTAGTTCTGCTTTAGACTTGGTTTTGCTCTGGTGTTGACCTGGTTTAGAAATGCTTTAGACCTGGTTTAGACATGGTTTTGTTTTAGTGTAGACCTGGTTTAGTCCTAAGCCAATGATGTTCATTTTGTCTTCTGGTTTAGTCCTGGTTTAGACCTAGTTTTGATCTGGTTTAGACTGTAGGAGGGTGTGGGCCAGTCCAAACCACAGACCACAGTCAAACCAGAGTTAAACCAGGGTCAGACCAGGGTCAGACCGGAGTCAGACCGGAGTCAGACCAGAGTCAGACCAGAGTAAGACGAGAGTTACACCAGCATTAGATCAGAGTTAAACCAGTTTTACACCAGAGTTAGACCAGAGTTAGACCAGAGTAAGACCAGAGTCAGACCAGAGTTAGACCAGAGTAGACCAGAGTTAGACCAGAGTAAGACCAGAGTCAGACCAGAGTTAGACCAGAGTTAGACCAGAGTAAGACCAGAGTCAGACCAGAGTTAGACCAGAGTTAGACCAGAGTTAGACCAGAGTAGACCAGAGTAGACCAGAGTAAGACCAGAGTCAGACCAGAGTTAGACCAGAGTAAGACCAGAGTCAGACCAGAGTTAGACCAGAGTTAGACCAGAGTAGACCAGAGTAAGACCAGAGTAAGACCAGAGTTAGACCAGAGTTAGACCAGAGTAAGACCAGAGTAAGACCAGAGTCAGACCAGAGTTAGACCAGAGTAAGACAAGAGTTACACCAGCATTAGATCAGAGTTAAACCAGTTTTACACCAGAGTTAGACCAGAGTAAGACCAGAGTCAGACCAGAGTTAGACCAGAGTTAGACCAGCGTCAGACCAGACTTAGACCAGACTTAGACCAGAGTTAGACCAGAGTTAGACCAGAGGACCACCGAGGGCTGAGTCATCGCTTCTTCACAGAGGCTGAAGTTTTTTCTTTTCTCATATGAAACGATTTCTTTTTCCAGGACTCAGCAGCTCCAGCACCAGGGTCACGTTTGCCGCAGACTCTACAGAGAGGGACCAGACACGTCACGTCATTTCACCCCCAAACCAAGATCCTGGTTCGGATCTTGTCTGGCCCAGGCTGGTTTAACCCGTAGACTGTATATATAAATGGACATAGGTCTCCAAAGCCAACGTCCCATCCAGTCTGCGATCGATGACCTTCCATAAAACGGCTCATAGTCACAGTTTGAGAGTTTGTGGCTTTATCTCCCGCTTCAAGGTCAGGTCGCCTCTGTAATCTGAGTTTCAGAATCAGCACTGAGTATCAAGGTCTATTCTTTAGTACTGAAATCGTGTTGTGAAAGTGCTCAGATAAAAGTGAGATAAAGTTGAGCTCATGTTCAGGGCCTTTTCTTTGTCTCGGTGTTTGTCAGAGCAACAGTGTAAATACAACAGTTCTTAAAGGGATTACACAAGACTGACTCAGGTGAGCTTTAAGTCATGTCATGGCCAAGAGTCAGATGCTGTTACCTCGTCAAAAACAGACCTGGGGGGGTTTGTTTCATTCACACATGTTGAGTAACCCTTTATTATTAGTCTGTCTATACCTCCAATGTTCAAAATGCAGTCAAATGTAGCTCATTGAAGTTGCCACATTTCATATTTGGAATTCTGACTGCTGTTTGTCTAAATCAGGATCAATGTATTTTTATTTTAGTATGTTCATTTTTAAATGTAATTCTAAATTTGTAAATAATGGTAATCTTGTAACATTAAAATAAAACGTTTTTAATATTTTTGTCGCTCAAAATATGCATCACAACTGCCGATGTGCGACACCCGGCACAGATCTGGCAGCCTGAACTTGCCGGCACCAACATCAGCAGCATGATTTATTGAGCTTTTTGACCCCTGGAAGATAAATGATGAATAAATCCAAGAAAAGATTCATTTGCTTTCACGGCTGATAAGACTTCTAAAACACAGAAGCAGATGGTGTTTTTGGATCATTTAAGTTTGGATTTTTATTTTTACCAGGAGGATTCAAATAGACATTGAGCATTTCATTTGAAAGTAAGCATCAACCAAGTGTCTTTTTTTGGAGTTCCATGTTCTCTGTAGTATTTTAAAAGCAACACACTCTACAGAGAATACAGGTGGCTGGAGTATTTAAGGTTGCTGACCCCTGGTTTAGCTCCTCCCGCTGGTTTATCGGGGAGTGAGCACTGAGGAAAGCATCAAACTTCTTGACCACGAGAGAAAGAAGGCACCTGATTGGTCTGTTATTAATGTTCATATCATGATTTAGGGACAAAACATTAGGATCACGTAGAGCGAGTTAATATGAACATTTTAAAGACCAAAATGACCAGGCTCACAGCAGCAGTCACAGAGAGAGGGGACAGTTTTTCAATAGAAAGTGAACTGGAGCCAGAGTCAGTGGAGCCGGAAGCGCCCCATGCTCAATTCCTGTTTGGAACATGGCGGCTAGTGGGTTAGCTATGTCCATTTATATAAACAGGCTATTGGCAGGTCCCAGGATCAGACCCCAGGATCAGGTCCAGGATCAGGTCCAGGATCACGTCCAGGGTCAGACCTCCGTGAAGTTGGCCCACCAGGACCAAGACCAAGACCAACACCAGGACCGAGATCAGGACCAAGACCAAAATCAGGACCGAGATCAGGACCAAGACCAGGACCAAGGCCAGGACCAAGACTAGGACCAAGACCAAGACCAAACCAAACCAAGACCAAGACCAAACCCAAGACCAAACCCAAGACCAACACCAAGACCAGGACCAAGACCAAAACCAGGACCAGGACTGCATACAGAGTGAGGGTTCTATTCCCAAAGGTTCTGTTCATATTGGACTCTCACATTGAAGAAAAATCTGAAGTGTTGGGCTCAAGAGCACAACTTTAAATTATAGAGGGAATCAAACTGCCAACCCACACATGTGTCCTGCAGCAGGGACCAGGAGGAAATGTGTTGCTCAAAGGCACAACAATACTTACAGTGTGAAGAGGCGCAGAAGTAGCAGTAAAAAGCAAACCTACACAAAAACTATGTCAATCGTTTGTGCTTCGTTTGTGCTGCAGAAAGTTTTGTTTGTGCTGTTATGGTTTTTGAGAGATTATCAATGTTTTATAGGTCAAATAGGGGTCAGCCAGGCCCCCGGGAAGCTTCAAAATGCTCTAAAACGGCCCAAAATGCTCTTTTGTGCTGCAAAAACTTAATTTGTGCTGTTATGGTTTTTAAGATATTAACAGTTTTATTTTTGGCCATTGACTTCATCAAGCCCCTCAAAATGTTAAATATCCTCAAAAGACGAGAAAATTATATGAAACGCTTGAATTTCCTTCTTATTTGTTCATTCATTCTAAATAATTTTTTGTGGAAACTATATGATGCCATTTCCGCTCAGCTGACAGCAGCGGCTTCAGCAAAACTCCACAGAACTAGTGAAGATAAAGAGTCTGATTCTGTGGAAAAGTCTGTATCATCTGCATCTTTCGTAACTCGCTCTTGATTCATGTTTTATATAATAACACAGCCTGAGATTGTTTATCTTCACTAGTTCTGCGGAGTTTTGCTGAAGCCGCTGCAGTCAGGTGACATCATATAATTTCCGCAAAAATAATAATTAGTCATTTTAGAAATATACTCGCACAAATGAAAATTGTCACTGCAC